CAATCCAGCATCGGTAAGTGCGAAGCAAGCATTATTTAATGATAAACAGAAGAGAGAAAAACAAAATCCCTATGCTTTAGCACATTTAAACTAGTTCCAGTTCATGTTGAGGAGTGAACAAGAGCTGAACTGGACCAACCTTGTCCCGCAAAGGAAAAGTCTGTTAAGTGTGCAAAGTTGCAGACAAAAACCAACATTTATTTATCAAAAGGATTAATCAGATCCAGATGTACAGCAGAGGTCAACATTGCTGGTTACGACTCGTAATGTCTTCTGGATACGGTTCTCAAGTCACCACAATTCCAGTCTCTTTCTTTAATGAACATCTCTCAGATCAACCAGTTCACTCACTAAATTACCAACTCCATTTTGAAGGGGCCACAAGTCAGCATGTCCCGTACCTCAGCTATGTTAATGTGCTCTATAAATAAAGTTGACTTGAGTTGTTTCAGCTTTTCCCTCTTCAGGGTCTCCACAGCGAATCATATTCCTCCATCTCACTCTGTCCTCACTCCAACTACCTCCATGTCCTCTCTAACTGCATCCATATATCTCCACTTTGCATTTTTCCTGGCAGCTGCATTTCTAACATCCTTCTACTAATATATCCACTGTCCCTCCTCTGGACATGTCCAAACCATCTCAGTCTGGCCTCTCTAACGGTATCTCCCAGTTGTTCAACCTGTGCTGTACCTCTGATGATCTGTAAATGTTTTAATCTGATGTCTACCAAAAACAGTTAGCATAACGAGTCTTCTTGTTGCAAGTGGCCTTCAGTTCCACTGACTTCATTATTCACAAAAGAGATTATATGTCCTAGTATTACCGGGTAGTCCTGGTTAAAGTGAATAAAATGAAGCCATTAGACCAACATCATCCATGAAGCTGAGAGGAGAAGATGGTGAAAAATGTCACCTGGACAGGGTTACTCTGTGGACATTCACAACTAAATCAATTGTAAAATTTAGTTCAAAATATAAGGTTATCCAAAGCTTTCTTCTTTGCTTTGCAGGTTTTTGTAGCGTTTTGCTGTTTGCTGTGACTGTGGGCTGCAGAACGCAGCAGTGCTCAGCAGTCAGACACTTGAAGCTCCTGGATCCTAAGAGAAGCCGGTTCTCCTTCAAGCATGGCATCAAATATGTCTTTGTCAAATTCTTCATCTTCTGTTGTTGAACACCTTAGCATGTACATTACTTTGGAAAAAAAAAAAAATTCTTGTCTGCACCACAGCAAAATTAATATAGATTGTTGGTTCCAGAAGTACATCCAAGAACAAATGTTGTGGCCTGAAAGAGGATAAGAGTAAAAGATACTCTGACACGATGCTTTCATTCAGGCAGCTGTAGGTGAAGGAAGCATTGTCCAGAGCTTCTCCTCCTTCAAGCCCTGCAGACATGACTAATCGATCAGATGTTTGTCAGAACTCAGCAAGTCGATCACAGATAAATAAAACTTAACAGGAAATTCCTTACAGTTATTTTAACCAGAAAAATATTTTAAACATTTTTAACAACAAATTTGAATTTTATGTCACAACAACTGTTTCCACTCACCCTTCATCTAAAATGAACCAGCTATTCTTTTAAACAAGTTTCAATGTATCACACAAGCGTGTCTCCTTCAGTGTTGATCTTTATGTTTCCGTTACACTCTGGGGAAGAACAAAATGTGCTGATGCATGAAAGATAACACAAAGCAGCAGAAGTGATCTGCTCTGACTTTAAACATTTGTTGTGTTTGATGAGGAAACATGCTGAACTTTTTATCTTCTAAAAAACAAAAAGATCAGCAGGAATAATCCACAGCTAATGTTTCACCTGAACAACAAAGGCTTAAATGAACAGGAGAAACTTACTGATGTTCAGTATTCTGTAATTATTTTCACAGCATCACTTCTGTTTGACAGAAGCAGTGCGCTGCCTTTTTTAAATAATGATGTCCTCATGTGGAGATAAAGAGTTCACTTCAACTGTGAAACCAGTTTCTGATTTCAGAAATTGCTGCTGCTCTCTGGAGATGAATGGGAGGAATTCTGCTGCTTTTATAAAAAGTCAATTAAATTAATTCATGTTTTACTGTTTGTTTTAGTTCAACTTCAAATGTCCATTCTTTGTTATTGAAGACTTTGATAGCACATTGTTGAATACAATCTAAATAAAATAAAGCCCTAGCAGTGCGTGAAGAAATGAACATGGCCTGAGTTTTAAACAAAGATGAGAAATGACAGAGTTGTAAACTTTTTGGTCAAATCCTAAGAGAACAATGTGTGAGCATGCAATTATACAAGATAATACATAGACCTATATTTAATCCAATTTTCATTAAAAAAATTCTAGAGAAAATAGTTGCAGGTCAGTTGCGTGAACATCTACAAAGAAATAATCTGAAGAGTTTCAGTCAGGGTTTAGAGCTCATCATAGCACAGAAACAGCATTAGTAAAAGTCACTAATGATATTCTCATGGCCTCAGACAATGGACTTGTGTCTATTCTGGTCCTGTTAGACCTCAGTGCTGCATTTGATACAGTTGATCACAATATTTTACTACAGAGGCTTGAATATGATATTGGGATTCCAGGAACAACTCTAAAATAGTTTAAATCATATCTATCTGACAGATTCCAGTTTGTAAATATAAATATTGAATCTTCATCATACACCAAAGTTACTCATGGAGTTCCTCAGGGTTCAGTGCTTGGACCAATACTCTTTACCTTGTACATGTTTCTATTAGGGGAAGTTATTAAACAGCCTGGGATACATTTTCATTGTTATGCTGATGATACACAATTATATTTGTCCTTTAAACCCAATGAATCCAATCAGCTGCTTAGACAAAGTAGTCTAGTATTTATGTCTTAAAGACATAAAAACCTGGATGACCACCCTAAATGTTCTGCTTTTGAACACAGACAAGACTGAGGTTTTGGTTTTGGAACCTGAGCATCCTAGGAAATAATTTGTCAGTCTTTCTCCCTCCTTAGATGGCATTAATCTGTCCTCCAGCTCTAATGTTAAAAATCTTGGTATTATTTTTGATCAGGACATGTCTTTTATCCCCCACATTAAAAACGTTACTAGAACCATCTTCTTCCACCTGCGTAATATCACTAAAATTTGAAACATATTATCTAAAAATGATGCAGAAAAACTGGTTCATGCATTTGTTACGTCTAGACTGGACCATTGCAATGGTTTATTATCTGGGTGTCCAAATACTTCTTTAAAACGTCTTCATTTGATCCAAAATGCTGCTGCCAGAATCTTAACTGGAGTTAGTGGGAGAGATCATATTTCTCCAGTTTTAGCTTCTCTCCAGTGGCTCCCTGTCAAATCCAGAATAGAATTCAAAATCTTACTTCTAACCTACAAAGCTCCCAACAACCTAGCTCCATCTTATATTACAGATCTTAATGTTCCATATTTTCCTAACAGAGCACTTCGCTCTCAGACTGCAGGTTTACTTGTGGTTGAGTTTCCAAAAGCAGAATGGGAGGAAGATCTTTCATTTATCAGGCTCCTCTCTTGTGGAACCAACTTCCAGTTTCTGTCCGTGAGGCTGACACATTGTCCAGTTTTAAAACTAGGATTAAGACTTTCCTTTTGATAAATCCTATAGTTAGGGTCGGCTTGGGTTTCCTGAGCTGTCCCATAGTTATGCTGCTATAGGCTTAGACTGCTGGAGGACAAACTGACCACACTTCTTCACTCTGCTACTGTCTTTACTTACTCTGCTCAACATGTTTTATATTTGTAATTATTTTTTCTATCCTTGACGTGTTTTTTTTTGTCTTTCAGATACACCTGGACCTATACCTGGACCTACCATTCTGTGTTCGTCTGTCTCTCCTTCCTGTCCTCTCAACCAGCCGGTCAAAGCAGATGGCCGCTCGTCCTGAGCCTGGTTCTGCTGGAGGTTTCTTCCTTTTAAAAGGGAGTTTTCCTTTCCACTGTTGCCACTGTGCTTGCTCAGGATAGGAGACTGCAACGAAGCCAAGATTCAACTTGTCTGCTGGATTCCTTAGATAGAGAACTTTACTAATTGGCTTTTATGCATGTGAACGTTTCTGTGAAGTGCCCTGAGACAATTTTGTTGTGATTTGGCGCTATATAAATAAACTGAATTGAATTGAAAAGGTTTGAGATGTTAAACTGTAAAAAATACTGAAACAGAAAGATTTTTCTTAGGATAGAAAGATGGACTGAGCTTTCAAGTGAATATCAGTGGTGAGTGAACAATTTATTTTTCAGCCGGTAACCCGCTTCATGGAAGTTCCTGTTCTCACACACTCACGGCAGAATTGTCTGAAAATTGTTGTTTGCTGTAATTCTTGTGCCTTGGCTTATCTGCTTTGCTACTGATAAAACTGTCTTGTGTTTAAAAATACACCTTTTTTGGTCTGTTTGGGTGTTATTGTGATATAGTTGTGTAAAAACATCAACAGACTGTGGCTGTGCACTGTTGCTGTATCCAACTCGGGGTGTGGCAGCACAGAAAAGACCCTGTTGTAGGTTCCCTTCACTGCTGACCGAGTCAATAATACATTTTAAACAGCATTAGAAAATGTTTGACCCAATACACAGAGGAGTACACAGTGAACAGTTTGATTACAGTCAGTAATTGTGAATTAAATATCAGTAATGGAAAAGCTGATGTCAGATTGTGCATCGTCTTTATGAAAGTTTGTGCTCTTTTCTGAGAAATGTAGAGTAGGCAGTGTGACACGACTCTAGGAACATCTTCATCTTAGTTTCCTGTATATACCATAGCCAGGAATAGCAACTACAAGTACACAAGACGTAAAAAAGTAAAAACTATTAGAAAATATTTACACAATTCCCGGTTCACTCTTCTTTATCTTTTTTCCCCCAAGACAGTTCACTAAAAATCGAGTTAAAAGATTTGAGTCTTGAATTCAAAATGATGAAAAAAGAAATCATAAGCATGTAACTCCTGGCTGACCCCCCCCCCCCCCCATCCCAAATAACAAACATTTTAATTAGTGAGTCTGCTGCCAGCGTGATGGCCAGTCCTTCTCTATCCAGCTCTGCAGCAGTCGCAGCACATCAATGCGCTGATAGAAGCGGCAAAGTTCGGTGAGCTCAGTGACCGTCTTCTGGTTGTAGCGCAGCAGGAACTCCAGAGTGGGGCTGTGAGACAGGGAGCCCTGGGTCCGGTGCTCCAGCAGGGTCAGTTCATCGTACGTCATCCCCCAGCGACTTGCAAAGTTTTTCCAGTTTTTGATGGTGCAGTGGTTTGGATCTAGTTTTAGCCGCAGCAAGTCCATCAGGTCGTTGTCGTTCATTAGGTCGCTGATTTTGGGAGGAGGTGCTGGACAGCAGCATTTTTCACAGGTGCTGCTTAGGATCTGCAATTGTTTGGGGCAGTCTAAACTCGAAATGAAAAAATAAAATAAAGAATAATAACGTTAGTAACTGAAAAATATTAATGTTCTGTAACCATAAATGATCAGATATAAAGTCATGCCAAAGGAGTAAATACAGTAGTCCCTCATTTATCGTGGGGGGATAGCCCCACGATAAGTGAAAAACCGCAAAGTAGGAATAGTAGTACAAGTAGTAAGTAGTAGTTTATATATATATATATATATATATATATATATATATATATATATATAGTAGTATAAGTAGTAAGCAGTAGTTTATTTAAGTATTTATATATGTACAGTAAGGCGTTGTAAACCCTTCTCACACTCTTGTAACATTATAAACAATGTTTCTAAATTTTAAACACTCTAAAAGTGCACAGCATGACATGATTTCAGCTCGTCTGCTCTTTGCCACCTACAAGCGCTCTTGGCCACGCCCACTTCTCAGCTCTGCATGCTGATCAGCTGCAGCAGTAAGTTCATCCTGCAGCAGTAAGGGCTGACCAAATGTGCAACTGGTGTTAAATAATTTAAAATAATTTATTTTAAATAAAACTTCCATGCCAATCGTGTGGCTGATCCATCAGTCAGCCAATAATTGTGTGTCATGTCCACTCTTATTCTAAAAAACACTGATAGAGTGAGTCCGTGATAAATGAACCGTGATAAATGAAACGCAAAGTAGCGAGGGACTACTGTACATTCCTTTTCACGTTCAAGATTTGAGTTCATAGTAGACTATATCAACATCAGACAACAAAACAAAGTACAATTGTTTCACTGTTGATTTTACAAAAACAAAACACTGAAGCAGTACATTGTAGTAGCCAGATGCTGCTGACACCACTTAACTGACTAAAGTGTGAGCACCTCTAGGAAAAAGCAGGAAGGAGTTTGCCAGTTTGCTACTATGGAGCATGTATGTGTTTTCTGATGCTTTTCCACCTTGACATTGTGTTAACAAGGTCTGCTGCAGTCTATCCAGGATGGGTTGAAGGTCACTTCAAAACAATTTGAAGGCCATTATTCTACAGTGAGAACATTTACATGTTAAATGCCTATCTTTCCAGGAACAGATGTTCCAACAAATTCACCCCGAGGTCAGACTGTGCAATGCTCTGAGAAATAGCAGGGACAAGGTTAACGTTAGAAAATCACTGAAACATGTCTTGTTTGGAAGGCTCTACGAAAGAAAGCCTCCCTGTCTCGTATTGAAGAATGTTTTAAGTTTGTAAAGTTACATCTGAATAAATCACAAGACTTCTGAATCAGATGTAGACAGATGGGACCAAAGTAGAGACGTTTGGCTACACTGCACTGAACCATTTTTGAAGAGATTCAAACAGCATATCAGTGCAAAGCAAACGCTTCATACCGAATATCAAGCATGGTGGTGGAGCGGTGATAATCTGGGCTTGTTTTGCTTTGAGATGAATAACTCCAACACCTCCTCAGCTGCTGTTTTTATGACGCTCTGGACGCTTGTCACCCACAGCACGCGTGTGAAAAAGAATAAATTCAAATTCGCTTTGAATTTGTCGTGTTGACAAATATTTTTTAGTTTAATTGATGAGTTTGTCAAAGCACAATTTTGACTTTTTTTTTGTAAATACAGAAGTAATACTTAATAAATGTTAGGACTCTGTTGCTAACAAAATATATTTTATGTCATTAACCAACTTGTCAGATTCTTCTCTTGTGAGCATGCACGGTGAAATCGAAGTCCACACAACTTGTTGGATGATGCGACCTCGTCAATTTTTACATGAAACAAAACATGTTACATGATTTATAATAATTGATAAAGTGTATACTAACAGAGTGCCTGGAGGTTTCACACGTGGAGTCGGACAGTGAAGTCAGCGGAGAAGAGCTGGCTCCGAACCATCAAGGAAGGGGGAGGTGTGTGTGAGTAGGAGTGGGGGCTTAGGATGCAAGTGTTTACAAATGTAGGTAAATGTAGATGTATAACAACCTGTTAAAATACACCAAAATGCACAAGATCACATCTACTTTATTCAAAATTTTATGGGGAAGACCCCCCCCAGCCGGCCCACCCGCTATTTGCGTTCAGGCATCGACTGGTTTACAAATTAAGGCCTGGGTAGGGCCGTCATTTTATGCCGATATATGTGTTTGGGGACATATTGTATCGGTGATGATATAATTTGGCCGCGCCGATACAAACAATTCTAATCTTCAGCCCTAAAATGCTGGAAACCAGCCGTGCCCTTACTTGCAAATGGTGTAATTGTACATCGTATCCATAAGAACGTAGACGTAAAATACATCAGTGTTCTATCTTTGTCGTCTTTAATGAAATGCATTGTTTGTCTGAAATCTTTACTTCTCTGCAAAGGGGAAAAAATAAAACCCTGCTGCGGTCAATCCTTATTAGACCTTCACCACATGTGACTGACTAAACAATGAACAGGGAAAGGTGTTTCTTTGTTTAATCTATATTTTTGTAACACACTTGATAACTTTGTGGAGGATAGAAAATGTGAACACATGTTAGGGAGACTGTTTTAATGACCAGTGCACCACTTGTAAACCTACTGTGGGACTACGTATAGCATGGATCTGATTAGCTTAGCTTCATGGTTGCTAACAGCTGTGCTAAATAATCAAGCCCCGCTCCTCTCGCTGTTTAACTTTGGGGTGGACAAAATGAAAAAACTTTCAGTCAATATATCGGCTACCTGGATTAGCCTTCCCCACCCAGTTTGATAGCCAAAATTTCCATATCGGTCAGACTCTATTCCATATCATACCTTAACACTTTATAAAGAATATAAAAACAGCAACAAGGCCTATAAACAAATTGTATCATGTTCACAGCAAAAATGAGTGCAGTTTAACTGGTGATAAAATAATTGATGTACCTGGTGAAGTAGATGTTGGACAAGTGCATTCTTCCACATCTTCAACTGGCTACAATCACAAAAAACAAAACAAACAAATAAACAAAACAAATTAATATATTTAGTTACATTAGCTCCATTAAACTGTTAATTTCTTCCACTGCAGCAACTGTATAGAAATCACTCAAACCCATAAAAAACAAAAACCTGTTTAATATAATGGCTGTTTTATTAAGAAGTAGTTTTCTCTATTATATAGTCTAATACAAAATTTAAATACTAAGAAATGTTTTTCTTACTCCACTGAAAGAATAATATCCAACACAGTCCAGAGGAGTTACTGCCATCAAATATTCAACCAGTATCAACCAGCTCAATTTAATACATCTGTTAAAAAAACAACTTCCATTTTTTATTTGTTTTATTTTTTTTAATCTGTTGTGAACGTTTGGGTTATGAAGATGAGAAAATAATAATTATTTATAATGTAAATTTATATTTATCCAACCCATCATATATAGCAGGCTATTATTAGCACGCTGGGCTTCAACCACTGAGGTGGCACTTACTTTCAGTTTCAGTAGAAAATACTTTATAGTTTGTTTATTTTAAGTGTTACAGAACAGTTCATATTTATTAGTGGGGTAATTGCACATGTATTTGTCCAAACCATACAGTAGATGTCAGAGATGGGTGTGAACAATAAAGAATATTTTATTCACACATGATCTTATCTAGAAGTGGGCGCAGAATTATTATTTTTTTGTTTTAATTACTTTTTACTACTGCCACCTACTGTTTAAAATGAGCTAAGTGGAAACAGTTAACTGTCCTGGTGACACACAGCTGCAGAGGACAGTGACGGGTGGTGGTATGGAAAGCCAAATGGGTCATATTTTGCACACCTTTATAGCTCTTGTGTGTTATAAGTCAAGTACGTCACCAGGTGTTTAGAAAAAGCCTCATTAGCACTGACTTAGTTGAAAACTTTGTATAAGGTTTAACATTTTATTTGCTCACTGAGAAATGTACTTCAATTCCATTTCATTTTTTGCATTACATTTAGACCAAATCAATTGAAACACTTGATTTATTTGATTTTCTTCAATTCCTTCACGTTCAATTTAGATGAACAAAACAGTATACTGTACTTGCCACTATACACATCGCACCGCCGTATAAGTCGCATCAGTCCAAATATGTCTAATAAAGTGGGAGAAAACATAAATAAGTCGCTTCGCCGTACAAGTTGCATCTATTATGTGATGCGTCGCGTTTGCTTTGCGTCACCGCTAACCACCCAGAAACGTGGGCCGGTGTTGTGCCAAAAATCGATTGACTGCCAAGTGGAAGCGTGCACAGGAGGGCTTTAACATGAATTTAACAAGATTTACACTTAAAAACAATTATTTGTTAGCTTGAAATTATAGTAAAGTTGTGTCTCAGTTGAACTTTTCCTTAATAAATGCACTTTATTGGTCAAATCAGCTGCATTTCACCTGGGCGGCGCGGTGAAATGCAGCTGATTTGACGTTTGCTCCAGGAGTTCCGGAGCGAGACAAAGGTGGCTTTGTATGGCAAGCCAAGTGTCTCATTAATAGCCACTTTCCCCTATTAACGAGGCACTTGGCTTGCCATAAAGCTCGAGGGCCCTCTAGTGGTTGAAAATGGTAGTGTTCAATATTTTCCATGTCAGAATGAATGAAATAGTCAGATCTCAGCTAAAAATTTGGTTATAAATATGGAAAAACATATATTAGTTGCTTTGGTGTATAAGTTGCAGGACTTTCAAATTTATGCAAAAAGGTGTGACTTATACAGCTAAAAATACGGTAGTTTGTTATTTTTAAATTACCATTTGACAAATCCTACCTTGCTGTAAATGACCTGCAGGGGGTGAATGGGGGTATTTTTGTGTCTGCTTTCAGAGGGTTTACCACCTGTTTAAATTAAGTGGGGAAAAATAACTAGCATTTGCCATTTGTATCTTTTTCCCATTAAATCAAATGTATCAAACCCTAATGTGTGCACCATTACACAAACATTTACACACATTTTTGAATGGACTCGTCTAATGTTCAGTCTCAACAACTACTTTCCTGACAAACAGAACTAAAGAACAGTAATTGACGGGGAACGTTTTAGTAGCAGAGCTAGACAATGTCACAAAAATGAGAAGATTTGTTGGATAGTCTAAACAATTCAAAATGAGCAGTAAGAATCGTTTGAGCATGTTAGCTGTTTCACGTTCGAATGCAGATCTTTGCATATCTTAGTCAGGCACCCGTACAGAGAGGTGATGCTTGCTCAAAGCTCCTGGAGTGAAACATGTTGGAACAAAAGCAGTGCAGCACCTTACAGTACATCAAGGCCAGACAGAGTTAAAAATCTGCCCTGAGGGAGATGGAAACATTTCATCAGTCATAAATAGGTGGACTGGAATGAACAAATTCTCTTTCTTTTACTTTTGCTAATACGTTTTTCTTCTGCTGTAGATTTTTTTTTTTTTACATCAAAGCTTCCTTTAAGAAAACGGCATAACGAAGAGTGATGTCTATCTGGCCTCAGTGCTTTTGCTCTGTCATTAAAAATACACACAGGTGTGCAGCAAACAAAACCACAGCCTCTTTGCTCTCAGCTGAAATTAAACAGTAATTGCACACTGGATCTTTCTGAAGAACTGCTGGTGTCAAGTTGTGTATGGACAAACAGAAACTACTTTTAGTAGAATAACATGCAGCATTTTAAAGAAACGTGAATGATCTGAAACTGAGATGTTTTTTTATTCTTTGTGTTGGGCACAGCAGGATTGTTTAAAGCTGACAGTTTGTGCACAAACATGCATACATACACTTACATTGCACAAATTTGGTAGTCATTAAGTTGACTGTAAAAAATAATAATAATAAAGATGGCGCAGGGGGGAAGGATGAAAACCCACAAAGGGCTTAAAATTGTACCTAAAAATAACTATGACCTACATAATAGAAACACTATTTAAATCTCCAAATGTATGCAGCATCTTTAGAATCTAATCTAAGATCTACAAAGTGATGGACACAGTGCTCCTAGAATTAAAGGCCCGCGGCTCTCGAACTCGTTGTTCAAAGGTCCAAATTAGATTTTTGTAGAAGGCCAAATGTTCAGAACAACTAGTAAGAAGCAAATCCAATTGATTAAATTAGCTTATGACTCCCAGCTAAAAGAAATGGTACTGTTTGCTTACAATTGCTTGTTTGTGACCCCAATGACTTTAGCTTTTGACAAAAAGCTTAAAGTGCACTGTAGTTTTATAAGAATGTTTAAATCAAATGTGAATAACTTTTCTGCCTGCTGTTCAGTTGTGCACTCTTAAACACAACAGATATTTATGACTGTGAGGAGCTTGTGCACAAATGTAACCCAGTTCGTGTTCATTTGCATTAAACAATTGTTGAACAATATATTGTGCATGGATTACACTAAACATTTGCAATTACCCAAACATATGCACTAATTGTTCTACACATTTGTAAACTTATTATTATTATTTAACCAGGCTAACCCCTTTAAGATCACAGATCTCTTTTGAAGGGTGGCTTGGGCCTGAAGGCTGCCTAACATGCATGTTTTGAACTGGGAGGAAACCCACGCAAACACAAGGGGAACATGCAAACTCCACAGAAAGACCCTGGATCCAGACCAGGGATTGAACCCAGGACCTTCTTGCTGTGAGGCAACAGTGCTAACCACAAAACCATTGTGCTGCTAAAGCTTGAATGAAAAAGAAAAAGGTATATAAATAATACATTTTCAGTGAGTTGTTGTCAGTAACTGGAGCTCACATCAGAGCAGGACTAGTTTCTCTGTGTTCTGTAGCTACGTGAAAGTCTCGATAAGGAAATCTCGCAGGCATCAAAGGCTGTTATACTGACCTGTCTTATCCTGTTTTCAGAGGAGGGGCTCAGGTATCTCGAGGGCATGGAGCTCAAGTGGAGTGTCACAGCATCTGCTTACAGAAACTTTAAGGTCAATGTTTTCTTGAGAAAACTGCAGCAATACATGACAAATATGTTTAATTCCCTCCTCCTTTACCTATAACAGAGGACAGGTCACAGCTGGTTATAAATGAACGGAGTACTGCCTTGGAGAACAAGTCACATTTATCGGACTTGGATTAAAAAAGTTTCTAATTTAGCTACTACTCAAAGTAATGAAAGAAAAGAGAAATCTGCTGTTGATACAATATTCCAGTCATCCCTTGTTCAGTCATTCTTTAGTCGGGTTTTTTGTTCCAACTTAGATCTTTTTTTGACATTGATCTTGGCCAACCTTTTTGATTGGTGTTGCTTATAATCAACTTACATATTTATTTACCTATATGTAAGCAATTTACATCACAGAATTAAAAAAAAATAGTTTAACATGAAAATGTCCTCCAATGTCCAACTTTACACTATAAATGTATTTGATTTAAGTCAAGCAATGAAAAAGATCTTCTTTCAGCCGCTACCTCTGGGATTACAGGCTGGTTTCTCTAACCCCTGCACTACCACTCCCTCTACTTTTGTAATAAACATATAATAATCAAATAGACAAATACTAGTCTTAATTTATTCTAAGGCTTGGAGTAGAAATATGCCATATTTACAAAGCAAGCTAAACTGGCAGCTTTGCAGGTTTTAGGAAAGCAGCATTCGCACGAGAATTTACAGTTTACTTGTTGAAACACACACATGCTTTGTACAAAATGTATGCAGGTAGGACTTCTTCTTTACCATGAGGATCTGTGACTTGCACGGGATAATTGGTCTTCAAGGACTGTGGAAGAGACAAGGACAAACAATATTACTTGAGAACAGAGCTGAGGAGACTCATTTAAGAAAAATCAAGGCTGTTTGCTTTGTTTAACGCTCTTTAGGCAGATTTAGATTCTGCCACTGAGGAAGAAAATGACTCCTGTGTGCAGAGACAGGGATCAGCTTGCCACAACTTGCTCAGTGATGAACCCTTTGGCGCTCACAATCGCAGCACAGAGTGTTCAGTTCTGGTACATTACTTAGCAGATTACTGAGACTTTGCAAAAGCAATGAAAAATCACCAGAAAACAAACAGGAGAGACAGCGAGTCAGAAAAGTGAGACTTTTAAACAAACTTCTTGCTGGAGGAAAGAATAAAGAAATAATTCCTTACAATCTCTGCCACAAAGCTGGTGGTATCTGTGTCCTCCACTGGCTCGGAGCTGCTCCTGTCTGTTCCAAGAAAAGGAAAATAAGCATCAATATTGTACAACGTCATGTCAGCTCCACTCATTTCAGCAACTTCCTACAAAATGTCAGGTATCAACCGCAAAGAAGAACATGAAAGCCACTTCCTGCAGCCAAGAGCATGCAAGTTTTACGAACCTGACGTGTATACAAAAATAATGTGGGCAGTGGAACTAAACAGCGATCATTAGAGATAACAGCAGATTTTCTGTGGGTTGAAAAAGTATGCACTGCCTTTTAGTTTGTTGGATACGTTTTACTTAGTTCATCAGTAAAAAAAAAGGTTTTACTCAAAATACACCAGATGGTTTTAAATAATAAATAAAAATATTTCTTAATGTAAATCTTAAAAGTTGCATGCAGACACACACACACACACACACACACATATATATATATATATATAT